TCCCAAGATCCTTGTAATTGTACATAACCGCCAAAACGCTTCTTGAGCGTATGTTCTACGCGTAAACCTAACTCTGTCCTACCTAGATTCGGTCTATACCCTGTACCAATTGTTTGGCTAACATCATCTAGCGTCTTATTTGCTAAACCACTTAGATAGAAACTTGGCGCAATAAAACCACCAATTAAAAACTCACCATAATCTTTGGCTATTGCTTGGCTCTGAACAACATAAAAAGATAACAAAATAATCAAAAGCTGCCATCTCACCATTGACCGTATGCTCCTGGTAATTTGATATCTTTGGTGACACGTATCATCATCGTACTTCCTTCTTTGACCATAATTGTGGGTTGCTGTGCATAACCAGACGCAACTGCTTGCTCAACGCTCTCATTGAGTGATTTACCAAAATTGCTGGCAAACTCATCAATATAAGGTGGACTAAAACTGGAAGGTGCTTTCGCTATTGCACTTACGGAACTAACCAGTAGCGACTTACCAAAGTTCTTCCAGAAATGTGTATTAACTTTTCCCGTTACACCTGCAACACCACGTATATCTGTACCTTGCATATGTCCTATATTTAACGTCGCTCCATTTGGAAAAATGAGTCGTAGCCAAATCGTTTGTACCCGCTTCTGTCCTTGAGAGAGTCGACTGTTATAGACCCCGTATACTTCTGTACCTTGTGGAATTAAAATATGAGCTGCACCTTTTGATCGTACGGTCTTATTCACAACAGCACGTATCTCGCCAGGTAAATCAGAATTAATGGCATCTTGTAACACCACCGGAATTAATTTACCCGTATACAGGGTGTACAAACTCTTAGTTGATACTACTTGATGGTTCAGTCTAAATTGTGAATCATCTTGATTGATAAATGCTTGTTTTTGGGCTTGTTGATTCAGATCTTGAGACAATTGACCAAAACTGTAGCTACTTGCAGCATCCACAACATTATCGGATTTCTTGGCCATCAGGTTCTCTGGCTGTGACTCTGACGCAAAAGCATCGACCATCGTCTCTCTACCATCTGATAAAGGCGATCCTAGAGCCTCTAGACGTGCCTTAGCTTTTAACTGTTCTAACGCTTGGTCATATTCTCTCTTTTGTTGATTGCCTCTCGCATTACTATTGGTAACTAAACGCTTAACTGGCTTCTTAACTTGTCTTGGCTCTTGAATACCAAATTCCTCTTTATAGCGATCAATTAGCACAGACACATCTGTGGTGGGAACTACTGGTTCAGCAGGTCTTTTGAGTCTTACATCTTCTAGAGATGTTCTTACTTGCGGTTTATGTACGGGCTTCAGGGGGCTTACGGATGTATTTGTTTGATCACTACCTTGTTTCCAGGAATGAATCAGTGCTCCAACACAGAAAAATAACAACACAAACATAACTAGGACCCCTTGCCTACTTAGCCATCTGGAACGACGTTTGGGACCGTGTAGATCTTCAGGGCTATAGGGACTCGTTACCATTAACGACTACCTTTAGATCTAAAACCACCTGCACGACGACTAGATCGGTAGTGACGGTTATTCTTATCACAACTACCTAATCGAATTGTTATACTTTCAGCATCTAATCCCTGCCCATAGGTTAAAACACCCTGTTTAAATAACTCTGGAATAATCCATAAATGTCTTGCTGGATCATAGTCTGGATTGGTCTGTTGCTTCTTTTCACTACGACCGACAATATAGAAGCTAGGAATACCCCAACTCGATGCTGCTTCTGGCAAACGAATATAGACAACTGCACCATCATCCCAAACATCTGTTGGGTACCAAGGATAGGCATTATCATTGGGATCTAAACAGTATTGTGTATTAATACGTTGTAAGTTATCTTTTTTAGCTTTAACATTCGCTGCTTTTTGTTGAGCTTCTAATGCTGAAGCAAGTTGATTACCATCGTTTACAGGTACTTGTAACCCTTGTTCTGGATAATCAAAACGGACAACTCTAACATAATCATTATCAACTGCATGTAGTCTAAAACGGTAAATACGTCCTAAACTCGTTGCGATACTCAACGTAGCAAAAAATTCAGCAAACTTAGGCTTAATCGTAAAAACAAAAAACACTTGCTCACCAATACCTACAGGACCATGTGTACGAATCCAATTTTTTGTGTCAGACAACACATAATTTAGGATCTTCTCTCCACGCTGCAATTCAATCTCACAACCAACAAGTGGCGAACAATATAAATCATATTCTGCATGTTGATCGTAATCTAATTCTAAAAGTCTACTTCGGGGTGCATCTTTTAAGAGAGGCATTGGCTCTTGAGGTCGCTGATTAAGCTCACGGGCATACCCTACCTCTGTCAAAAAAACACAGAGACAAATAACTTCAAGATACCTTGTAAACTTCATAACCTTTCTGCCCATTCAAGATGTGAAATGTAAACACCAAAGGGATTATCCATTATTTCTGACAATGAACTTGGTGGATAAACAGCAACCGTGACAATGGCAAACCATTCTTTTTGAGCGTGAATACGCCCCTGTGGACTTGCAATACTCTCCTGCCATTCTAAACGCCAACTGGTTTGACGTTGATTGGTTGGCACAATATTTTTAACGTTGATTTTGACCCGCTCTGTTTGGGATCTTAAGCAAGGTTGCGTTGTTTGAATATGCTTTAAATAAGTTTGCAACGCATCTTCAATAACCATATTTTTGACATAGTCATAGTATTCTTCGTTGACATCACAATCTGGTACAACTCGTCTTGAACGTACAATAAATTCTTTTAGTTGGGCGGTAATATAGCGACGATCTATATCTACCTCTTCTGCTTGGATAGCTTGACTAGCAAGTACACGTCCATGAGTATCAACTTCTATAACATAGGGAACATACGTTGTCTTCAATGAATGTTGCCAAAAACCTATACCCATTAGTAACGCAATTACCATCGACAGTAACGTCACAATACGCATCAACGTAATTCGATTCTGATAATCGCCAACTAGTGCATTCCATCTTTGCTCCCCTTTTAAAAAAGGATTTTCTTGTTCAATGATGCGCTCATCAATTATATCGTTTACCAGTTCACGTAGATGTGCTTCATCTGCTTTTTGGATCATCATTCAATCTCTGGTGGCTTGATCTTACGTCGTGCTCTATTTGTGGCCATACGATCAGATAACGGTGTCCTTGCCTGCTCGCCTACAGCATCTGAAACCGTTTCTGCTGCTGCACGCATAACACTACCAATACCACCTGTCTTGGTACCTGGGGTATCTTTACCCATCTCTTTTAAAATGCCACCTAATTTTAGGGTGGCTGTTGTTGATCGTTGCGTCGCCGCTGCTGCTGTTCTCGCTGCGACTGTCATTGTCCCTGCTGCTATGGCTAGCTCTCCCAAACCGCCTCCGATTGTACCCGCTAATAACTCTTTCGCTGCATAAGGTGCAGTCAAAACAATAACCATATACATAATGGCTGCCGCTACTACATTAAAATAGTGACCAACTGTTAATTCCGATAATGCTAAGGTATTAGCTATTGAATGTGTTAAATTCGACCCTAGACCCAGTGCCAAATAGATAAAAAAAACCGCAACACCAACTGTCAATAAAGACCATATATAATTTTGGGCTTTAGATCTCGAATAACGTAGGGCCGCAAATGGTAATACAATCACACCAGCATAAAGATACAGATACATTCTAAGTGTAAAAACGAGCACAATAAATGCAGATGCCATATAAGATAAAAGCACTGCTATTGCACTAAATAAAGCTAAAAGAGATGTTCTTGGATCAGCCATAAGGCCATTGTCTTTTACCGACAAGAATATCTTTGTTGACATCTGAATGCCTGTATCGATGATGGCACTAATACTAAAACCATCACGACCAATCGCATTATCTAAACTTAATTGACCTGCACTCGTTACTACATACGTTCCTGCTTTATAGAAACCACCCATAATTTGTGGCATCCAGCTATGGGCGTGAACTAATAAACCATAAAACACCATTAAAGGTAAAAAGGTTACTAAAACAAATTTTGTCGATTCATCATGTTTTAAATTAAAAACAACTAGTGCAATTAATAGTTCTAAACCTGAAAACAGATAAAATAGATCTATCGCTATCTGCTCAAGTGGACCACTCCAGGCCAAAAATGACCGGTGGAATGACCACATAACATCATCAAAATTAGTCAATACCGTATCTGTCACTCTAGACCTAACATCAATGGTTTATATCGCGTTTTATCTGGCTTATATTCCTCAAAAAAGGAATCTACTTTCTTAGCGTGATCTTGAGCCTTTAGTGCCTCTATATCTCTTGCTTGCTGTTTGTCTGCTGCAAGTAAAGATGCCTGCTGTAGTTGTGCATTTTGGATCTGTAATAACTTACTTAACTGGCTACTTAGAGTGGAAGAAATCACATTCCCTAGCTCTAAGGCTTGCTGGGTACCAACTGTACCTTGTGACATCGTCTGGTTAATACTTTGTTGCAGTCTTAATACTGCTGAACCCGTATCTAATAGATGATCACTAAAATCAAGATAACCATTAATGCTACTTCTAAAATCCTCTTGCCAAGCTCTTGATAGTTGCTCTAGATCTGCTTGCTCAGCAGCTGTTAGCTGACGTTTTAAATCCGCTCTTAATTCTCGTCTCTTGTTAATAATCTTTGCTGATGTCTGAAACTTTTTTGTAACCTGAACCAGGTTTTCACCAAGTAGATTCGTCTTACGTACCGTTGCATGTAACTCTTGAATGACAGATCTCGATTGTGTATCCCAAAACTTTAATTGCTTCGCATTAAACTGTTTTGCTTGCTTTGCCATCGCAAGGAGCATTTTTGTCTGGTTCTCTAGTTGCGCTGCTCTCTGTAAAACAGATTCTATTGTTTTACCAACTTGCATTGCAGTCATACTCTCTAAACTCGGAGCTGAGATAATCAGTTGCGCTTGTGATACCGATGACATCAAAACAACACTCAAGATCAGTAAACTTAATCTCATTCCAGATCACCCTTACGGATCTGATTCCAATACCGAATCCAATCTTGATCAATACCTTTGTACTCTAGCCATAACGAAACCCAAGCATCACCATGCATAGCCATCATCTGCTTACATCTCTGAACATCTTGCTTCGATGTTGCTGCAACAAATGCTAAACTAACTGCTCGTAAATCTAAATCAAAGATACGTCGTCCATCATCACTACGATAGTAATACTGCTGTTTCGGTACTAAATGGCTAATCAGTGATACCTCTTGCTCAGATAAGCCTATCTCCTGATATAGCTCTCGATGATCATAAATCGCAGGATTACTTAAGAATATTTTTGTAGGCACGTTTTCTAAAATGACTGGCTTCAAAGAGCTACCAATAATCTCAGCTACACTTTGTGTTGCCATTCCAACTGCTGCATTTTTTGACCTGAATTTACGTAAGGCTTCTTCGTACTTTGTGGCAATTAATGGATTACGTATCGCTTGCCATCCCTCATCATAGGGCATATAAAATGGCTGTCCTTGCATCCTACGATCAGCAATATTAAATAAGGTCAATAGAATCGGTGCTGAAAATCGCTCCTCAAGATCTAATAACTTCTCCTGCTCAAAGATGTTCCAGCGACTTTCACTAACAGTGTCTTGCTCTCCATCAAGTAACATTCCTAGGGGACCCTGTCTTGTATATTGCACAAAGATATCACGGATCATCCGCTTCTGTATCTGTAGAACAAACTCGCTGAGTGTACGTGTCGGTGACTGACGTAAAGATTTGAGAGACTCTATAATTTCGTTATTGTCTTCTGCTGTTACTTGATAATCATTTAACGCTAGAACAGCCTTAATCCACTGCTGGGACCACAGTAAACCCTCAGGATCATCTAGGTATCCTAATGGTCGTAATTGTAGTTTAGAATCTGACGCTAACAAATCATAATAGTTACCACCTGCTGCCATTGTCGTTACAAATAGACCATGCTTGATATCAAACCCAAACAGTTCCGCCTGCTGATAACGGTTAAAACTTACCGCTATCTGATTCATCAATACGGTCTTCCCCTTACCTGTTGGTCCCAAAACAATAAAATGACCTACATCTCCCACAAAGGGCGTTAACCTAAAGGGGGTAGATCCTGTTGATACCGTATGCATCAACGGGGGACTATAACTTGGATAGGTATCATTTGGATGATACCTATGACCTGCCCAAAGTGTCGTTGTTGGCATCAAATCAGCAAATTGAACCGTATTAATCAGACTCTTACGACCATTCCATTCAGATTCTCCTGGTAAGGATCCTAAATACGCTTGACTAGCATTGAGTGACTCAATACGTGCTGGAAATCCTAGCTCCTCAAAGGTGTCTCGAACAAATGCTGCCTGCTCCGTCACAACATCAGAACTCTCATGCATCACAACCACTACTGTACTGTACGCTCCCATCCTAATATCACCACGGTCAATGTCATGGACTGCTCGCATAGCATCCTCTGACATCTCTACTGCTGCTTGATTCTCCGTACGTCCAACATCTCCATACGCCTCTTCTCTTAGATGACCAATTAATGTCTGTCTCTTTTGATACCACTTTTTCTCACGCCTACTGGCTTCTCTTTTAGCATCTTCTGGACTATAAAAAATCAGACGCTGATGCCAACGATAGGATAAGGGTTGACTATGTAAAACCGACAATAGCTGTGGACTACTTTCTACAGGAAAACCTTGGATACCAATCGTACGTATATGTTTGTCTCCTATCGTTGGTTTTCGACCCCCATAAAAATCTTTACTCGCCAGATAATAAGATAAATATGGACCATTAGCATTGATTCTTACAGGGCTATCATCTCCATCTATACAGCACTTTAGGTACGTTAGTAGTTCTGTTGGGGATAAACGACGAAATTCAAAAAATAAGTTCTTCAGCACTCCTTCTACTTGGCTTAAACGCTCAAGAAAATAATCGCGGATACGACTACGTGTTAAGCTACCATCTGTAGGCTCATCTGATACAAAAAATTGGATTGTTTTGTCTTGCTGGTCACTAGGAATTTGGTACGTAATCGTTAGATAACAATCACTAGTAAATAATTGGGCTACATCATCCTTAAATTGCTGCTCTCGCTCTTTATTCAAAAACGCACACAACGCATTATCAAAGTTACCTCTCATATCAATCGCTGTTAGCGGTTTACGAATCACATCCGTCTGTATCATCCAGTTATTACCAAAACGATTAAAAACGTTATTTAGATGATCACTTAAGGAATATAGTTCTGATTGACTAACAGTTAACGGATCTGATCCTCGATATTTATAGACTGAAAATAATGACCCGTCCTTTTGCAAAACAATATTACCCGGATAAATTAGACGGTCATAGTTTAATAGATCATCTAACCCTTTTTGCCTTGGTAATACGTTTACAAATTTAAACACTATGTTCTCAACTTCGTGACAGAAAACCCAGATCTATGCTCTCGATACAAAGCATAACGTGATGATTGTGCTGCATATTCCGCTTGGCCACCTAAACCAACAAGACGACTATACTGCTTGATCACTACCTTAAAATCAGGATCATAACTTGTCAGCAACCTTAATCCCCAGATACCTAGACATAAAACAACGCCACAAACAACAATCCCAACTAACGTCGGTTTTAACAGTACTGGTCCCACAGTAAAATAGAAAAGGAGCAGTAACGATTCTCGATTCACACCAGCTATCTCTGGTCTACGACTCAAAGAAACATAAAATTGACGATACTTACGAGCCATTATTTAGCTACTTCGTTACAGCTCATAGAATCAACGTGCCTCCATGCTATAAATTCCTATACCTCTACTACAGTCTTCTCCTCCATTGCGATCTCGTATACAAAATCCCTGCGAACCAATTCCTAAACTACTACCTCCACACGCATTTCCTCCCGCAGCTGATACCAGTGCCGTTACCTCACAATTACCATCATTATTAGCTCCACTACTAAATCCAATATCGTTGCCATTGTCTGTCCACACTCCTGTTCCCGTAAATCCATTACTTAGCGCTCCCGATGTCACATCATCACATCCATCTGCATCACTAAATGTAATTGTTGCGCTAATTGAAAGAACCGTACATATATCCGTCGTATCTCCTGTACTCGTAATTCTCTCAACAACTGGCGGGTCATTTACACTATTTACCATCACATTCACTGTCGCATTGGCTGAACGTGCTCCTGACGAATCTTGTACATAAAACGTAAAACTACCACTACCATGCCAGTTATCCGCTGGATCTATACATAAAACTAAATCGCCATCATCACTGTCGTAAACAGTAAAGTTACCGCTTCTTACTCCCGTCCAAACTGCCTCTAGTGAATCTCCATCTACGTCACTACCACCTACTGTAATACACCCATTAACATCCTCATTGGTTGTTAAACTTCGATTACCTCCACTTACAGGTCTATCATTAGCGCAACCAACATTCAGGGTCGCTGTATAGATCTTGGATTGTGCTCCACCGCTATCGCCAACCAAAAAGGTAAAACTATCACTGCCACAGTAGTTAGCATTAGGTGTATAGGTAAATGTGCCATTGTCATTCAGGACAAATAGAGACGCTTGGCTTGGAGACACAATTAGATCAAAGTCTAGAACTTGACCTTCTAGATCACTTGCGATTAACGTACCATTCAATGTCCCATCTTCTGTCAGATTAAAACTCTGATCAGATGCTGTTGGCGCGTCATTTACCGCTGTAACCATTAACTCTACAGTTGCGATAAGTGATGTTGCACCTTCGGGATCAGTAACACGATAGACAAAGCTATCAGCACCATTGTAGTTACGATCTGGCGTGTAACTAAACCCTACACCATCAATCTGTAACCTCCCATTAGCAACCGATTCTATAACCTCAATTCCTAGCTCATTTAATCCATGATCGACATCACTTACTGCTAAAACTGTACTTACGGTTACATCTTCAGGGGTTGATACATTTTGATCCAAGGCTCTTGGATTATCGTTTACCCCTATAACGAGTACCATTACACTGACTGGATCACCGTACGTATTTGTCTCATCACGTACAGATAACCAAAATACATCTGCTCCATTCTCATTTGCAGATGGGGTATAGACCGCTTGATGAGCTGTCGCAAAGGTAACGCTGCCAAGTGTTGGAGCTGTGATCACTTCATAACTTAGCCTTTGTTCGTCAACGTCCTCTTCCTCTAAATCAATTGCTAATGCTATATCCTCAGCTGTCGTTACCATTAGACTGGAAACTTCTGGCTTATGTACTGCACCTCTTACAATCAAGCCAGATACACACGCTTGGCTTGGATCTCCCCCTACTCCCTGATCTCGAAAACATACCTCATAATCAAAACTACCTACGCTTTGCTGCTGACAAAGTCTTCCTGTTGGTTGATACGAAAACTCAACGTCCCAAATACATGCATCTATACTTCTACTAAATGTCGATACAATATCGTTACCTGCTGACTCTCCTACCCAACTACCACTCTCAGTTATTATTCGACTACTTCCCGTCAAAATATCTTCACAACCATCTATATCTGATAAGCTTACTTGGTATCTAATCTTGCGGGGATTATGACCACAGATGTCATAAGCATCTACCTCTATACCACTTCGGATAACACTCACTCCCGTATTATGAATCGAAAATGACTCCACCGTCACTGGATCATTTTGTCCTGTAATGCTATAGCTGATCCCTACCTCATTACTGACTAGGTTACCGTCACTTACTCGTACCTTAAATGTGTAAGGGCCTCCATAGTAATTAGCTATTGGATTCAAACATAGCTTTAAATCTCCGTCATTGTCTTCTTCAACAATAACTCCTGTTACCGTACTGCTTGAACTCTTAAACACAGATAAATTGTTACTATCTATATCACTGGCTACTACGACAAAACAGCTACGTGTATCTTCTGTTAAGCTCAGATCATAACTACCTGTTAATACTGGGGCATCATTCACATTATTAACAAATAGTGATACTGCTTGGATCTCTGATTTTGCTAATTGGGCATCCTGCCACTGAACAAAGAATTGATCGATACCTACATAATCTGTTATACCCTGGTAACTAAAGCTACCATCTGCTTGCAGATGAAACTCTTTGGCAAAACTAGGAGCTGTTATCAGGCTTGCTGCTACTAAACCTAATGTATGGTCTGGATCTACTACTGCTACTTGACCTAAATACAATAGATCTTCTTGAACATCATTAAAGCTTTGAGCCATCGCAACTGGTGGATCATTTACCGCCAAATACCAGCCAGCTACCATAGCTGTTACTGCTAGGTTGCCCAAACGGGCTTCTATTGCAGCACTAACTGGACCAAAATATTCTGCTTGCGGATGAAAAACAAAGTGAGCTGCTTCTGTCTCACTTATGGTTCCTGCAAATATAGGATCTACTTGTAAAACTGTATAGGTATAGTTGGTAAGCGGTGTATCTACATCGGTAATCGGATTACCGATCACGTAAGGTGTATCTTCTTGCTCTTGAAAATTAATCTGTCTAGCTAAAGCAAAATCATCGACTGCTGTAATAAGTACCGTTACACTTAACGGATTACCATAAAGACCTGTCTCATCGCTTACAGATAACCAAAATACATCCTCTCCATTCTCATTTTCAGACGGGGTATATACTGCTTGATGCGCTGTCGCAAAGGTGACACTGCCTCGTGTTGGGGCTGTGATCAGCTCGTAGCTCAACAACTCACGATCAACATCCAGTTGCTCTAAGTCAATAGCTAGGGCTACATCTTCGGGAGTTGTAACCGCCAGGCTTAAAACCGCTGGCACATCCGCTACAGCTGTAATATTAATTGTTACTGTATAGCTTGGCGTGTCTTGATTTTCAATATGGCCAGTATTAAGTACGTAATATTGAAGCGTTACAATACCGTTAAAATCAGCAACTGGTCTATAAGTACATTGCCCATCTACAGTACAACTTAGCTCGCCAACCGTAGGATAATCGGCAATCTGAAACCTAACACCCTCGCCTGGATCACCATCATAACCAAACAAATCAAACGTATAACTCGTCACATCTTCAGATGTTGCTATAACCTCATTTAATCCTTTTGGTGGATCTTCTTGTGAGCTTACACTAATAATGACTTGTGATGGCCTTGATGCTTCTTTACCATCATTGGTCACAAACCAAAGACGGTCTAGACCAAAGTAATCATCTGTTGGCTGATAGGTTAATAACCCTGTCTGATAATTAAGATTAGCAATTCCATTAACAGGACTCGTTACCATTAAAAATGTTAGACGATCTCCGTCTACATCACTACCTGTCAGGGTACTTGTAAGTATAGTATCTTCTGAAATTGTTAAACTTGCAGCATGGGCAATTGGGCGATCTTGTACATTGGTTATCTCAAACATAAACGGAACATAATCCGAAAATAGACCGCTTGCAAAAGCACTAAAGTAACCTGTGGTCGTACCAAAATAATCTGGAGTTGGCGTCACACAATAATCACCTGTCACTTGTGCTTTGAGATCAAAGGCTGTGTATGGTGGGGTTGTTATTTTGAGTGGCTCAAAGTAAGGAACAGAATCTCTGTCAACACTACTAGCTCTAAGCTGGCCACAATACTGCGTATCCTCAGCAAATGTCACCTTTTGAGGATACGCTATTGGTTTATCTGCTGTTGGAGCAATATCAATAATCGTATACGCACTAACAGCTAGTGTTCCGTCTGTAACCCAATATGTAAAATGATCTTTACCGCTACTATCTGGCTCTGCAATAAAACGACACAATCCCGTTTCAAGGCAACTAACATCTACCCCTAAATCAAGACGAACTTCTAAAACATTCGCAACACTCGCATTAAGGGAATAGAGCTTTAAGCTGTCGTCTGCATCTATATCCTGATCATTAGCTAAAATGTCAAAATATTCTGATACAACCTGACCATTTAAAAAAGATTGTCCTTGATCTTCCACAAAAACAAAGTGGTCATTGTTTACCTCTGGTGGATCATTTACAGGATCTACAACTCCTGTTACCGTTGAGGTACTGGCTAACCCTTGACCGTCAACTGGAAAATATTCGTACTCGACTGTTACAGGACCATTAAAATGACCCTTCGGTATATAGATAAACGTTACATCAGCAGGAATACTATGAAAAATATTGCCATCTGTTGTGACCAATTTAGCATAATATTCTTTTGTTTTTTCACGACTAGTAGAATCTGTAACAATACGAAAAATCCCAGCTTCGGGATTCTTAAAGATTAGATTCATCTTGTAATTGCTCTTGGACAAAATACCAAAATCGTCATTAGCAGCAAGATTAAAGGGCTTACTTGGCTTGTCTTCTTGGGTAATAAAAAAATCAGGGTTTGTCTTAACAACAAGCTCAGCTCTATTACCCTCCTCTTTCACACCAAAACCACAACTTACAAAAACAACACTGATCAATACCGATACGACTCTAACCATATACCCTGCTCCCTTAGATATTTACCAGTAGCCCATTAAGTGGATACTATAGCCAGCATAAATACCATTTCTAGCATTAATGACTTGCTCTAAACCGCTATTAACCGTTACTTCATAACGCAACATCTCATCTTCTGGATATGGAAGCCATAAATAGTGTGTCCTGACATCTTCTTCTCCACTTGAGCCAGAACTACGAACATTACTCATCATTGATAAAAATTCACTATCAAAACCATCAGGATGATTTTGAATACGTATCGTAAAGCGTAGCGGTACATCCTGTGGATTCAAGTCAAAGTGATGAATCGTCAAATTGACCCGAACATAGATAAATCTTGTCTGCTCAGGGAGCAATACACGAGAACCTGAACCATTATTATCTGTCAGGCTGACAGCATAAGTTCCAATAAGGTCATCTATCGTTTCTGTAACAGCACAACCACTATTAGCCTGCCCGCAAGTACTACGATAACTACCTCCCGCTATCGGTTTATGATAGTTATTAGGTATCACAGGAGCAGCTAAAGGAAAGTCAGCACTTAAGTCTGTCAGTAACCTTGGCTTGTCACTAGCAATATCACTGACTGCTTGTAGGGCATTGTTAAGACCTTCGTAGCGTGTATTGATCTCTGTAATACTATCCATATGCTGTACTAATGTCTGATCATTACTATCAATTCGGCTATTAGTTGTTATAAGCTCTGAAACAATTGATGCTGTTGTAGCCTGCATACTTAATAACTCTGAGGTTATTACTGCAAAATTCGCTTCTGTTACAGCACGATTTTGATCAATGCGACTGTTGGTTATTACAAGATCAGACACTATTGATGCTGTCACTGCTTTTATCGTTGAAATATCTGATGTTAATGTTGCAAAACTTGTTGTTGTTGCCTCTTCAATCGTTGATAATCTACTGCTAAGCACAACAAGGCTAGCTGCTGTTGCAGCTTGCATACTTGATAATTCTGATGCTATTGCTGCAAAATTTACTTCCGTTGCAGCACGATTTTGATCAATGCGACTGTTGGTTATTACAAGATCAGATACTATCGCTGCTGTCACTGCTTTTACCGCTGAAATATCTGATTCTAGATCGAAAAATGCTACTGTAGTTATCGCGTTAATACGTGATATCTCTGAACTATGTGTTGTATTAACCTGCTGAATTTCAGCTAACTGCTTTTGAATATCTGCAAATACGGTTACTTCTAACTGGGTTACACGTTGACTAAAATCTGATAATGTCTTTGCTTGTGCTGCCAACAGAGATACTTGCCTCTCTATCAACAAATCTCGATCTATGATCTCTTTATCTTTACTCGCTAATTTATCTTTCAGACGTAATAATTCTATTTCCAGATCGGAACTCGTTTCACTATCCCTACCCTGAACCTCTGGTAAACAGCCACTTATAAACAACATACTCAAAGCAAATAGCTGGTATTTACAATAGGGCTTATAACCTATGGACTTCATTTATAGCCTTTTAGATACTAAGTGACACTAATTTAATTCTAACTATGTATTTTTATAAATACAAATGATGTTATTCAGCCTCTTTTAATGACAATGCATGTTATCAGAACCAGATAATATAGCTACATAGCATCCTAGGGACTGCTTACAATCCCTAGGATCTTCTACTTCGAGGTCTCTTAATTTTTCAGATTTTGTAAAATTTGATATCGCAGCTCTACGAAAGGATCTCTTAGATCTACCTCCGAAAAATAATTCATAGCTACTGCACTATGAAAATTCTTACAAAGCCATTTACTAGCTTCTATTATGTTTGGGCTACTTTTTTCTATCTCTAGTTCAGGTGAACCAACGATAATATTTACTGACGGTGTATTACCTATTAACGCTATTTCCAAGCGTTCTTCCATATCCAATGACCAAAAATCACAGATTGTGCTTTTTAGGTGGCGAGATATTATATCTGCCTTATCATGTCTACTAGCCATTTATTAATCCTTTCCTGATTAATTGTGGTTAGCGGCGGGTCGTTGCTTCCGACAACGGCTCTCCGCGTCTTTTTTCAAGTTAATTCTTAGACCTTTTTAACTCCTTTCTATAAAAACCTCTTCTAAAAATTAGACTAAACTTTATTAACTGTAATATTAAATCTATCCTCTTATTTTTTAGTATTATTTTAATGACTCAAGGGGTGCTTCTCGCCTTAAATCTTCAATAATCTGATCGGTATTACCCTGCTCCATAGCTCGACGAATTAAAGCACGAACAACAGCACTGACAGATAGATTATCTCGTCGTATACGCTGACGTTTTCTATATTTACGCTCACGCTGATAAATCAGCTCTACAAAATCTTCTGTAGCAGCATCTAAAAAAATTGTCTTTGGAAAAGTATCATCGTTTATGCTTTTACTACTATTTGATTTAACAGCTTTTGACTTACGATCAGCTTGAATAGGTTCCTGCTGAATCAATTGACTCTTTTCGTTCAACCTATCATCCCCTGATACAGATGTATCAGGAGTAATACTCTCTTTCTGCTTTTTGCGTGCTTTAGCTTTTTCTTCACGCAATGCACTCAAACTACGGCTATTCATCAATAATCCTAACGTTTATTTTTCGGTTTTTGAGTTGGCAGTCCTAGCCTTACCAAGACTTCTTCACTTAAACAATCATAATCAATCGCTCCACGGGAAGCAGGTTCAAAATCCACAACCGACTTTCCTGACCTTTCAGCACGTTGAATAGCAGTAGATTTTCTGATTATGGTCTTCAAAAACGTATCCTCACCAAAAGCATCTAAAACATCCCAGTAAGTACGACGATTTTCAACTCCGTCACGTTTATCAACTGCACATTGTAAAAAACCAAGTGTCTCAATATCAACATCTAGATTTTCTTTAATTTCCATCAATCGCTCTTCTAACTCCAAAATATGCTTTGTCGCAGAACGTTGTAACGGCATCGGAATAATTAACTTATCCGCTGCGCTAACGGCTAACATGGTCAACCAATCACCCTTCGGGGATGTATCAATAATACAAAAATCCAATATATCTGCTTCTTTTTCAAGAGCTCGCCTTAATAGTAATTCGCTACCTACTTTTTTTTGTAATTGTGGTAATACATCTGCTAATCCACGTCCAGCAGGTGCAACGTACAGGTTTTCATTGTCTGAATGCTGCATAGCAATATCAGCAATAGAAACACTACGGATACTTTGACGAATTAAAACGGATTCTAGCCCGTCTTTCATGTCTTCTGGGTCCATACCCAAATAATCAGCAGCATCTCCTTGTGGATCAACATCTACTAATAGTGTTATATAACCACGTTTCGATAAACAAGCAGCCAAATTGACAGCTGTTGTTGTCTTGTGAACTCCACCTTTAAAATTCGTAATAGCTATACGGTGCAACTGGCCCCTTCCTATGACTATTTGTTACATAAATACAAAATACTTTAACGCTTAAGCGCTGTCAAGCTTAAGCACTTAACCACTAAAACATTAAAGCGTTTAAGAATTAAAGCACTTAAGAGCTAGAGCGCTTGAGCATTTTAACGCTTAAGCGCTGTCAAGCTTAAGCACTTAACCACTAAAACATTAAAGCGTTTAAGAATTAAAGAACTTAATTATTGAATGTATAATTTTAGAAATAATTACGAAAACGCTACTTCAAGACAGCTCGAAGCCTTTTTCTTTAGCAGCTTTGACAAGCAACGACCGTAGCTCCATTTTAAAAAACAAACTCTTCTTGCCTTCTTCTTTATATGATTTAGCACTAAAGACACTTTCAGAGTTAACACGTTGTACAGCTTCTTCTTCTAAAATGCCTAGTGCTTCTAACGATAAAGTTTTTTGATACTGCTCTACCAAATGGTCTTCATATTGTTCATGGATCCGTTTTTTTGACTCAGAAATAATTCGACGGGCTGTCGAACTTTCGCCCAAAGCTAACCGCTGATCTGCCATCGCAAGGGCATTATCATAATCCCCATAATCAAGAAAACGCTGGGCATCTTCTAAAAATTTACGTTTACGACGTTTTAAATCTCGCTCTGTACGCGTTTCAAAACCATCAGGAGGAGAATAGCCTAAAGGTGTATCTTCACTTTCTATAGCTTTCACCAACCATCCAGCAGGATTCTTGGGTTTTTTATTAATAGATACCAAATATTCAAAATGTTCTATTTGAAAAAGTACTTTTTCTTCGCCAAAACGACTAACAAGATTCATGGCTGCTTTGGGACTTGGTCCTAAAGCTGTTAGAGACTTAGCAGTCTCAGCATTCGTTTCCGGTGTCGTTACTGGAAGATCTTTTTGAATAGTATCTTCGGTATCTTCAAAATCGAATGGTAACTGTGTTTGATCTTTACGCTCTACAAAAAATCTCACTGCCACAGTCCTACGACCTTCTTTTTTGTATTCGACAGTAGCATTAATGTCCGTTACTTTACAAAGCTCCTTCAATGGTGCTTTGATAAGATCCCGATTAACATACTTAAAGGCTGAATAGTCACCTTCCTCAAAACCAAATAGTGCTAAATACTCTGAAATAGTAACCCATTCTGTAAATACAGATATTCTTTTTACGGCACTAACAGCGGCAACTAGAAATTCCCACAGTACTTGTGTATGTTTGCTTTTAATACCTCTTTGAACAACAAGATTTAATCTTGCATAAATATTAGGACTATATAAAAATTCACGTAGCTGTGGACTATAAGAATATTCACAAACACCATTTTTGATTTTTACTCCTGCTAAAGCAGTTGTGACCCCCCATTCATTCTTTCGGTCCTTACCAAGAATATTCCATTCCATTTGTGTAGCATTAAGGGTCTTCAAGGCGTCTTTCAGGACTTGCATGTTCTGAGAATTAAGCCCTAAAGTTCTTGCAATTTCAGAGATAGCTATCCGATGTACATCTCGCTTCATTAAATCTGGATATGCTTGTTTAAGAAGAACGTTGTAAGACTGTTTTTGTAACAGTGTTAAAGTGTTAGCAACATGAATCGCACCAGTATGCTTAATTAATTCATTTTTGCTCACAAGAACTTAATCCTTATTCTATACTTAGTTAATAAACTTTAAAGTATCATGGCATAGTAGGTGATAAAAAACAAGATATTTTTCTGTCACCTTATTTACCAAATGTACTCACCTTAATAAATCTCATACCAAATGTACTCACCTTTTATATTCCCCAAATCTATAAATCAGATAAAAACCTTTATAAATACAGCTAAAATTACTATAAATACCAAATTCGCTCACCTCTGAAAACTCTATACCAAATATACTCACCTTATTTACCAAATCAATTCACCCTTAAACACCAAATTCGCTCACCTTATTTACCAAATATCTTCACTATAAATACCAGATTCACTCACCTTAATAAGAAAAAAACCAATAACTACAACACTTTATATCGTCTTTAAATTCTTTAATTTATTAAACTGTTTGTTAAATAGTAAACAACAACATAGTTGTTGTTACTATTTAAATGGCATGGTGGATAAATGATTATAGGTTGTCTAAAAAACAATTCTAGATACCAAATTCACTCACCCTTAAGTCACTTAGATAATAATTAAATATGCATATTTATCTAATAAGAAACCTATATATCTAATTATACGCGGATATTTTTTAGATTTAAACGACCATTAGTCTGATCACCTGATAAAAATTACGTCTTTAGATCAGTGTTTTTCCTACGCAAATAGAATAAAAGAATATTAATAGACACATTTGAGTGTATATCTGAACTTTAACACTTAAACCTATTTGACTATGTTGACGCTTTAAATAGGTTATATTGCTATTTGTTAGTATTTTTTCAATAGCTACACTATCAAGTAAATTAAATAACTCTAAAGATAAACGATGAAAATTCTCATTGCTGAAGACAATCATTACCTTCAAAATTTACTACACTTTGTTATGAATCAGTGGGGGTATGATTATGATCTTGTTCATAATGGCTTAGAAGCTCTTTCTACAGCTCAAACAACAACTTACGATCTCTGTCTAATGGATCTACAAATGCCACTTTTAGATGGATATCAGGCTACTAGACGATTACGTAAACTCGTTCCCTATTTTCCTATTGTTGCCTTTACTGCAACTGGGACACTAGAATACAATTCTCTAATAGATGATTGTTTACAAAAACCCTTTGAGTTGACTCTACTCAAAAGAACCATTGAACAGTTGACTGTTAAAAGATCAACACTCATACTCAATAAACACAATGACATCAATCTTAAAAAGGAGACTCCTATGGATTCAGAACATTTACGGGAACTTAGAGCATTAGATCAAAAAGGATTAACAAAACTGGTCATTCGTAATACAGGAAATGAAGTTATTGTCGCCAAAAATGTTCAAAATAAGATTACTCATGACCTCATCGCAAAAGGACAAGAGTTAGCTGTCTTTTTAGACCGTTCTGACAAACCAGGAGTTTGTCATCTCTACAAGTCAACGCTTCATATGACGACAGGATATCTGTTGCCAGAATCAATGGAAGCCTTAATAGAGGAAGAAGATTTAGCTCTAGCTAGTATGCATCAACCTGCATTAAATCGGGAACAAGACTAACTGATAGACCTGTGTTGGTTCAGTTGATCCGTTGTTTTGACGATTTCACTAGGTTTAACGTTTAGAGTATCAGCTAATCGCCACAGGGTATATAAGCTTGCTGCTCTATGTCCTTGTTCCAGTAACGATATATGTGTTCTATGGATTCCGCTTGCTGTCGATAATTCTTCTTGAGTAAATCCTTTTCTGTTACGTATTATTGATAATGCTTTGCCAAAGTCTTTTTTTAACTTCTGATTATATTTCATTTTTTTCTTGTCTTTTAGGTCGACGTTCCTGCTTGCAAGCAATGATCGTATTTTAGCTGAAAGCCTAATGGCTTGTTTGTTTCAGTAGTATTTTGTTGTTGTTTTTAGTGCGCTGTTCAGGATACATTTGAGATTACACACGCCCGCGAACCCGTCAAGCATACTTGACTGAACCGCTTTTATGCCTGTGTCTTTTTTTTCTCAAATGAACCGCGCAACAAAAACAGTGTTGCTGAGACTGAGAAGGAGACAAGAAATGGCCAATTTTAAACTGAACGATAAAGCTAGAGCAGCTTTTCATAAGGTGATAGAAGCTTTTAAGACAGGCGAGGTTTCTAAAACTTGTGCTTTAGCTACCTTTCCAACAGTTGACCTTCCTGCTAACAACTGGTCTTTATCTAACCGATGGTTAGCGATGATGACGACTTTAGACCCTGATTGTCGTGGCTTTAAACAGTGGAAAACTGTCGAGCGTCAAGTCAAAAAAGGGGCTAGTGCAACGTATATTTTAGGGCCTAAATTTAAAAAGGAACTCAATGAAGATACGAACGAGGAAGAAAAAAGACTGATAGGTTTTTTTACTATTCCTGTTTTTCCTTCTTATTCAACAGAAGGCAAAGACCTTGACTATCAAGCAATATCATTACCTAGTTTTAATTTTTTGGATGTAGCGAAGGCGTGGTCTATTAAGGTAGAAACGATGGCTTTTAATGGGAGTAGTTATGGATTTTTTTGTCGCCATCCGCATGGGGAGACGATAAAACTAGCGACACCAGAAGAGCTTGTATTTTTTCATGAATTAGCCCACGCAGCCCATAATCGAATAGGTCATCAAAAAACGCAATTAGGACAAGAGCCTTTTAGAGAAGTAGTTGCACAACTGAGTGCGGAAGTATTGATGCATAGCATTTATCAAGATTTACCTGTATCAGGTAAAAGTTTTGACTATATCAAAGTCTATGCAGAGAAGGAGAACAAAAGCCTATTAGATGGTTGCTTAGATGCCCTTATTGATGCGTCTAAGGTTGTCGATCTAATCTTAACGACTTCTAAACGAGGGTAGGGTGAGATGACACAACTACAAATAAACAGAGCCTATGCTCGCCTGAATAAACCTAATTTCAAACACCTAACAACTAGAGAAAAGAAGATAGCCAAGCTTGTTTTAAAGAAGCGACAATAGGAGATGGAACTTTATGGTTACCGTGGTCTTTATGCGAGGATGCCGAGAAAAGATAATGGCAGTGTTGACTGGGAGATGATGAGTGAAAAAGAGCTAGATTTATTTGATTACGTGTTGAAGGAGCATGAGCGAGCGTTAAAGCAACTTTCGACCTATGAAGAAGAGGAAATAAAGGCAACGCTGGATAAGTTTGTCCGAACGCAATCTTACTATGGTAGTTATTGATGGAATTAGAAATTGTATAAGTAAAAGAAGATTGTCATAATAAGAGATAAGGAAACGAGAATGAAGAAATTAGTATTAGGAATAATCACATTATTATTTACAGGATCACTAGCAATAGCGAGTGATGATGCAGTGACGTTTCGTCAAAGTGATAGAGATCGTATGCTGAGGCTTGAAGAAGGTTTAAAGTATACGCAACATCAAATAGCGGAACTCAAAGAAAGTACGCAGCATCAGATAAGTAATTTGCGCGAAGCAATAGAAGATCAAAGACAAGACAGTAAAGATCAGTTTAATACATTAGTAACTATTTTATTTACAGGAATGGTCGCGTTGGTGGGATTTATATTGTGGGATAGGCGATCAACGTTGGCACCTGTGCAGCGTGAGCAGAAAGAAGATCAAAAGCGTATAGAGGGATTACTGGAGGCGGTGAGGGCGTTAGCCCCTGAGCATCCGAGACTAGCGGAAGTCTTAAGGCGATTTAATTTATTGTAACGTCATTTAACAAGAGAATAGATTTAAATGAAAGAGGTTCCATTAGGAGCCTCTTTTTTTATTTGTATTAGAGAGGATATTGTGAATGTTAAAAAAGGCAAGAAGTAGAAGCTTTGAGCCGCAAGAATCTATGGTAGAGGTATGGTTTTAGAAATCAGTATTAGGAAAGAATCGGATGCGTCAGAAGAGTTAGAGAGGTTGAATGATCAGCTGTGAAGGTATAGGAGGTATGCTAAGAATCTCCGTCATAGCGCAAGATAAAGAAGGTCTGCATTTTGCATCATATATATGATTATAATACTATAATTACTAACTATTTAAAAAAAGTAATAAGAGATGTAATGTGATACATACTGCATCTGAAACTAGAGACGGTTAAAATGGTTGATTATGAAGGGTGAAGCCACTCAAGAAGTTGTTTATCTGGGAGGACTCGTTGATATATCAGGAGTCAACGCACTAACTATTGGTGACTACACAACCAATATTCCCGACTTCTTAGCGGGTCTGTTTGAGGCTCTTTTTTTGGATGTTATAAACCTGAATAAAGAAGCACGAGATGTAATTGAAGAGCTAGGCTTTGATCTGCTTGAATCTCGTAAAAACCAGGAAGATATGAGCATCTTTCGTGATGGAGAAAACAGGGGTCAACGTGTGAACCGTTTAGCCAATTATGGAGGTCTTTTAAAGATTACTGGTATGCATATTTTTAATGAACATTTTTTACTGGGTTATCTTTGTTATGCGAAAAAAAAGATGGAACAGTTAGATGCATCGACCTATCTAAATTACGCGGAACGTGGCAATAAAATTATTTTGGAGCGAGCCGAAGAGAAGCGGGATTTTTGAGTTGATGAATGGGGTTTTATGTGGGTGATCAGACGCTGAAATTTTTGGGTCGATTGGCGCGTCAAGCTAAATATCAGAAATACAGTAGTTATAAGCATAGACGAGCAGTCGGTGGTGGTAATGGTAAGAGGCGTAGCGTTATTGAAGGGCGTTGTCTTTCTTTGAAAAGAGACTGGAGGTCGCATGGTTTATATATAGAGAGAGGTAGTGCGAGTCTGACCGGAGAGATGGCAACAGGATTTGATGGTTTTGTTGATGATGGTATATCACTATCTGAGACCTTGAAGTCGTGGTATTTAGAAGGTAAAAAGCGGTTTGAGCGTTTATGGACATTTATCATTAGTCCAGAAGATGGGAATCGATTAGATCTAAAAGAGCATACACGTTGTGTGATGGATGGACTGATGAAGGAGCTAGATAGAGAGATTGACTGGGTAGGGGTAGAGCATTACGACAAAGAGCATCGTCATGTGCGTGTAGCGATGCGTGGAATTGATGTTGATGGTTATAGTTTTTATTTGGGAAGTTATCATTTCAAACGAATGTGTGAGGTATCTATCGGACATGCGACAGATTGTTTAGGTTATTGTTTGGAAGAAGGGGTTGCGGTTGGCCTGGAAAAAACATTAGGAGTAGAAGCGGGGGTTGTTAGGTGATTAGATCGCGAGCCATGTACGCGTTGGCTGGTGGTGTTGAAGGTCGTTACCAGACGCTGAAATTTTTGGGTCGATTGGCGCGTCAAGCTAAATATCAGAAATACAGTAGTTATAAGCATAGGCGAACAGTTGGTGGTTTTAGTGGTCAGCGGCGTAGCGTTATTAAAGGGTGTTATCGCTCTTTGAAAAGAGACTGGAGAGCACATGGTTTATATATAGAGAGAGGTAGTGCGAGTCTGACCGGAGAGATAGCAACAGGATTTGATGGTTTTGTTGATGATGGTATATCACTATCTGAGACCTTGAAGTCGTGGCATGCAGAAGGTAAAAAGCGGCTAGAGCGAGTAGGGAAAGCAGAGCGTTTATGGACATTTATCATTAGTCCAGAAGACGGGAATCAATTAGATCTTCAAGACCATACGCGTATGATTATGAGTGATCTTATGGATCAATTAGGGCGAGATGTTTCGTGGGTGGGTGTTGAGCACTATGATAAAGAGCATCGTCATGTGCATGTAGCGATGCGTGGAGTTGATATTGATGGTCATAGTTTCTATTTAGGAAGTCATCATTTTAAACGAATGCGTGAAGTATCTATCGAACATGCGACAGACAGTTTGGGTTATCGATTGGGGTCTGAGATTGCTTTGGGAATGGAGAAGACATTAGAGGTCAACCATGTAACAGAACTGGATCGGCACATTTTTAGTGAAGATCGAGATCACCTCGAAGTCCAAAATCTTGATTGGAAGACCTATGATGGTCATAGCATCAATCATCAGGTTAAACGTCGTCTCGATTATTTAGAGGAGATCGGCCTGGTTGTTCGTGAGAAGCAGGTGTACCATTTTGATGGTGCTGGAGTTTTAGCTGGTTTACAAGAGATCCAGGAGAGTCAAGACATATATAAACGTGTTGCTAAACATCAGATGAGTACGGGATCATCTTGGCAGCGAGAGATTAACAGTGAGGTTCTGAGTGAGCTAACAGGAAGATATTTAGGTTATGGCGAGATTGACGAGATGAGAGATCGTTATTATATGTGTATTGAGGATAGTAAAAAAGATCAGATTCGTTATGTTGAGATAACTGGACAACAAGCAGAAGTTTGGGGTTTATCAGATTTAAGCGGAGGTAATGCTATTGATTTATATCGTGGAAGACGAGGTTACTATTATTTAAATGATCTCAAGGATGATGCTAGTTTAGACTTTGTTCTATACCGAGATGCGATTGCTTATGTTAGTGATCATGGCAGTTTCCCAGAGTTTAAAGAAGAGGAGGAATCTTATCATGATAGCTATAGCAATATGTTACTAACTTGCTGTAAGCATTTATTTTCAGAGGAGGTAATTTACCTTGATGAAGGATGTTATCAGGTAGATAATGACAGCTGGTATGTATTTGAGCGAGACTTAAAGCCCCCAAGTCATTTAGAGTATAGGAGACATAGCCAAGATCTCGAAGCTGCGTTATTTGCACAAGCAGAAGCGGAGCGTCAAGATCTTTTTATGGATGCCCTAATTGATCAAGGTTTAAATCAAGATATAGAGGAAGCTATTGAACGAGAAATGAAAGTTTCTGGCGAGGAGGATTTTATCATTCTCAAAGCACAAGCAGAAGAATTATATGTTTCAAAAGAGTTGGTATTAAAAGAACAATTACGAGATAGCCCTAGATTAAAGCAGTATTTAGAGCAAGATCCGATGGTGTATTTAACCTATGGTAGAACGCTTGAGCGTCAATTAGAACAAGAAGAACCTGCAAGCGTTAAAGATTCAGATCTTAGTATTTAAGGAGCATAATCTGTGCTTACAGATTTAATTTACTGGGTACAAAATGAAGCGACGTTAAGAGAGCTTATAGGTTATCCCGTTGTTTTTATATGGTTTGCCAATATTCTGTTTCCTGATGTTCGTCTGTTCCAGAAGCTTCAAGCGATAACTCTTTTACCGTTTACATTACCCATTGTTTTTATAATTTATTTAACCGCGAGTTTACTGTTTCTAGCCAAAGAGTTTATTCAATATTTATTACGGTTATTGTTGATTGATTACCGTACACTAACAGTTATCTGTATTGCATCAATGGTGCTGTCATGAAAGAGCAACAACAATCACGTATGTTTGCTGCACTGCTCATGGTGCTCTTAGGTTATTTTTTTGCACAACAAGCAATGGCATACTTACAGGGATTGAGTTTACCTGTTATCGATCCGACATATTTAATTAGAAGCAGCTTGGATATTATTTTTTCAAGCAGTGCTGGCATTATGGATGGTAAAGTCAACACAGAGTTACTTGCTGTTTGGGTATTACTGTTACCGCCATTATTGTTGTTATTTGTTTTTGATATTTTCAAAAACAAATTTGCAATTAGAAATAAAAAGTATTTAGTTTTTGCGACAAAGCAAGATTTGCGAAGAGCCAATTTACTTAGAGAACAAGCAAGTGATCATGGTATTTACATTGGCGAATGTTTAGAGCGCTTTTCAAATGCCAAAACATCGCGGGGTCGTTATGGAATTTATGATAGAGGCGAATTACATCATGTCATAGTCGGTCCAACTGGTTGTGGCAAAGATGTCACGTTAATGAGCAAGATGGTTTTGGGAGCACCGGGAAGATCACTTATTATTGTTGATCCCAAAGGTGAGATGTACGATTCAACAAGTGGTTATAGATCAACGATTGGCCCAGTATATCGTTTTTCACCTTTTGAATCGGGATATGATCATATAAATCCTTTGGATTATGTTCCTGAGTATCCGATGGATGAGCAATATATCCGTTATCTTGTTTATGAACTGAACAAAGATAACCTAAAAAAAACGGGTAATGTTTTCTTTCCTCAAAAAGGCGGTGAGCTTGTTATTGCTGCGATTTTACATTGTTTCTATCATCAAAATTGTAGTGGATCGCTAGGAGATGCTTTAAAGTTTCTAACACGTCAAGAAAAATACAATACATTACTAGAAGAGATGGTGTCAGGAGTGCATCAAGGTTTAAGGGATGGTATTCATCCAGTTGTTAATCATGTTGTAGGCGATTTAAAAAAGTCGTCAGAATCAGAGAAGATGCTTGCTGGTATTTGGTCGAGTGGGGTTTCGATTCTTGAGCCTTTCAAAAATGAGTGTATAAGCAATAATTTTTCTAGCAGTACAATTGATTTAGAGTCATTTATTTGCAGCGACACACCACAGACGTTATATATCACGTTTCCGATTAATCAAATGTCTACAGTCGGGCCACTCATTCAGGTTGTGATTGGTACGTTACTTGATCAATATACGAGGCAACAAGTAAGCGGAAGTAGTGCAAAACATTTAGATTATCCAGCGACACTGATTGTTAATGAGGCAGCGGTTTTGGGCAAACCAGACAAATTAATAGAAGCGTTAGGCTATTTACGTCAATATGGTTTGGCTGTAACGTTGGCATACCAACATCTTGGTCAAGTCTTGGATATTTTTGGTAGTGTTTCGGTTTTAGAAAATTTTGCAATTCAGAGTTTTTTTCCACCAAATAGCATTGACACAGCAGAATATATATCTAAGCAACTGGGTAAACATAGGGAGAAAAGAGGGCATAGCGATTTTGAGCAAGAAGTTGTCAATATGTCTGTTTCTGACATTATGAACATACCGAGGTTAGAAATAGGCAAGCAAGGTTTACGTCAAGCAGGTAAGCATATGATTCGTTACACGTCAGGTGGGAATATGCTTTGGATTTTAAGCGAATCATACCCTTATTTTTATGATGAGTCGTTTAAGCGCTTATTGGTCGGTGTACCAAAGATCGTCAGATCTCAAAAAGAATTTTACCTGAAGGTATCGAAAAGGCCATCTTTTATTCAGACAGAAAATATATCACAAGAGGAGGTTTCGCAGTTGGAATCACGGTTAGATAAAGTAGAGCTTGAAGAAGAGAAAGACGTATCTGTTTTACCAGATCATCAGGAAAAAGCAGATGTTACTGATCTGGTAAGCGATTTTCGTAAAGATGTTGGTTTATGAAAAAAGTGCATAAACGTCTGACAATAAACTTGACTGAGTCTCAAGTACAGTACATCGAACGCTATCAAAAAGATCATGGTCTTAAAAGCAATAGCGCGGCTGTGTCTTCATTAATAAATTTGGCGAAACGTTTAAATACTCGTGACAATATTGATACCATCGAAAGACGTTTAATTAAGACCTTAACAAAAGCGATCCAACCAATCTTGGATACAGCTGAATTACAAGTAAATCAGAAGGTGATGTTAGATGCCTTTGTAGAGATGATGTTGCTTTATATTCCCGATATAAAAGATACAAGAGCGCGGTTGGCAGCAAAAGCCTCTCTCGCGTCACGAGTAAAAGAATTTGAAGCGATTGTCGAGCGAAAATACCGAGAGTTAGCAGATGAAATCTGATGTTGATTCAGGACAGGTGAAACAGCTTCAGCGCTGGTTAGGTACAGAGATTCTAGATTTATTTGATCGCGATGATGTGACAGAAATTGAGGTGAATCCAGATGGTCGCGTGTGGATTGATACATTTCAAGGCCATATACAACTTGAGACGAACTTAGATCAAAATACACGTTTATCAATTATGAATACAGTAGCAACATTAAATGGTACAACAGTTAATTATAGTCAGCCGCTACTAAGTGCTTTGTTTCCTATTGGCAATCTACGTTTTAATGGTCAAGTACCGCCGGTTGTTTCAGGCCCCTGTTTCACATTAAGACTAACAGCTCACAATAACCTGACCTTAGAAACCGCAAAAGATGAGGGGACGATTAGTGAGTCGTACTATGATTTTATTGTTGGTGATGTGATCCCTAACTATCGTAATACGTTGATTATTGGTGGCACGTCATCAGGAAAAACCACGCTTTTAAATACGATTTTACAGAAAGCCGCTGATCTTTGTCCCGAAGATCGTGTAATCATTTGTGAAGATGTGCCTGAAATCAAAGTAAGTCATCCCAACCAGATTTGCTATACAACAGATACACGTAGTGGGGTGACGATGCAGACGTTAGTAAAAGAAGCGTTGCGTATGAATGTTACGCGGTTGATGTTAGGTGAGGTTCGTGATGCCTCAGCAAATGACGTTTTGAAAGCCTGGAATACGGGGCATCCAGGTGGTTTTACTACGATTCACGCCAATGATGCTAAATCTGGATTAATCCGTTTGGAACAACTTATGATGGAAGGTGGAGTTATGCCGCAACAAGAATGGATCGCAGATGCTATAGACGTTTTGATTTTTGTTAAACGTCAAGAAAAAAAGAGATATATTGCCGATATAAAAAAAGTCGTAGGTTTTGATAAAAATAACTACATATTAGAAAGTATTTAAAAGGAGAAAAAAAGATGATATATAAAACACTACTATTATCATTTGCGGGGTTATTATTATTTACAACAACAGGTTCCGCTTCTGAAGTATTACAAGGACTAGATATTGATGATGCAACGGATACGATTAGTACAGGAGTTAGCACTTTTATTTGGGTCGCCTTTGCAGTAGCAGTAGCAATAGTTGGTGGTATTGCAATTGTTTCTGGAAGATTTACAGAAACCGGTGCGAAAGTTGTAGGTTTTCTAATCGTAATAGCAGTTGTTGGTGCGATTGTAAGCTATGCTCTCGACCGAGCTAACAGCAATGTTGCTAGTGGTTCTACCTGGAGTCCAGCGCAACTGGAGCAATTACAAGCCTGTGAAGCAAAACATCAAGATGTTACAGCTCTGCGAAATTGTCTAAAAGAGAAAAAGGCTCAAAAATAATGAAATTTATGATTGTTGGTCAGGGTGGGCGTGAAAGTTCGTTTGCTAAAAAGCTAGCTGAGGATAGCGTTGTCTATGCTGCTTTTGGTCATAAAAATCCAACGATTGTTGATATTGTTGATGAGACAGGAGGTCGTTACATTACGGTCGACATCAAAGATGGCCATAAACTCGCGGACTTTGCTCAAGAGGAAGCTATCGATTATGTATTTGTCAACTGCGACGATCCACTAGCAGCAGGTATTGTTGATATTTTATTAGATCGAGGTATCAAAGCAATTGGGCCGACAAAGGCAGGAGCACGAATTGAATGGGACAAGATATTTTCGATCCAGCTGATAGATCGCTTATTACCACAATACACACCCGTATTTAAAGTTATTTCTACGCAATCAGATATTGACGAGGCAATACAAGAGTTTGCTGAATCAAAGTTAGAAATCGTTGTTAAACCGCAAGGTCTAACAGGTGGTAAAGGCGTAAAAGTGATGGGTAAACACCTACATAGCCAAGAGGATGTCAAAGCATACATTATCGAATTGCTAGAAAAGAAACCTGGTGAACAGGTACTACTGGTTGAAAAATTAGAAGGTCTAGAATTTACCATTATGGGTATTACCGATGGAGAACATACTGTTTTTTCACCAGCCTCTTATGATTATCCCTATCGCTATGAACAAGATAAGGGTGCGGGAACGGGTGGAATGGGTTGTTTTACAGATATCACGCCACACTTACCATTTATGACCGAAAAGCAGTACGAAGAATGTACCCATATTATGTCTGAGGTTCTTAAGGATCTAAAGGCACAAGGACTCCATTTTAATGGTGTGCTTAATGGTGGTTTTTTTGTAACAGAGCAAGGTATAAAATTTATGGAATTTAATGGTCGCTTTGGAGATCCAGAAGGGATTAATATTCTATCGATTTTAGACTCTAATTTTTCTAAGATTTTAGAAGCGATCTATCATCAAAATTTATCAGAAAACGATGTTGTCTTTAAGCAGCAAGCAAGTGTTGTGAAATATCTCGTGTCACCATCCTATCCTGAAAAGGGTGATCCAATTCGTTTCGAGTTACCCATTGAGCAATTTGAATCTGAAGGCTTGTCCGTTGTTTTCTCTTCTGCGATTCGTAATGAAAATGGAGACTATCAGACAGTTTCATCATCGCGAGTCGTTGGTATTAGTGGTGTTGGTGATAGCGTTCCGGAAGCGTCAGACAGGATAAATACTTGTATTGATCGTTATTTTTCAGGTGGTTTAGAGTATCGACGTGACATAGGATCTGCTGAAGAAATTGAAAGGCTTAAGCAGGTGTTTTGATTCGTGGAGGAGTACCGTCACATATACAGAGGTTTACGTGAACGCCCTACGATTGGTCATGGGAACTACAAAATTTCACTTATGGTTCTTGTTATTGCTGGTATGTTACTGCTCATACCCTTTCTACTGACGATTACAGGTGAAATCGGACTGCTTTCGGGTTTACTTTTAATGGTAGCGGTTCTCATCTTGGCTGCTTGGGCATTATCTTACTTAAATCGTATCGGTCGGTATGATCCAGATTTTTTTGAATTGACTGGTCAATATTGGAGAATCGTTGGTATATCTGGCAATAGATCTTATGTACCAGCAGTATCTACAGTTAAGGCTCAGACCTCTAAAGAATATCCCAATGATTTAGAAGGTGGTGAACTCTAATGTCAGAGTTAAAATCCGTAGATTACGGATTAGATGAATATATACCTTGGGATCTCATTACAAACGAAGATGGCGGTTTTGATCCAAAAAATATAGATGCTGCCAACACGATTTGGCAGAAGGATCATTCGTTTTTAGCTGTTTATCGTGTTGCAGGTGTTGACGATCAAACATTATCTGTAGATGATCTATCCTATCAGGTTGAGACGCTAAATCGTTTTCTGATGCAGATGGGTACGGGCTGGATGATGCAGTTTGACGTTTTGCGTCGTGAAACGCCTGATTATCCGACATCAACAACAGTGACGAATTTACCGATTGTCTCCTTTATTCAGGAGCATCAACAAGTTCGTTTTTGTCAAGATGATTTTCTACATCAAAATCAGCTTTATTTGTCATTAACTTTTCGTGCTAGTCGTAGCATGTCAGGAGGACAATTCGTAGCTGATACAAATTATCGTCGAGTAAAACCTTTAAAGCAGCTATGTCAAAGCTTTAACAAAAAATTAACTGAACTATTATCTATGGTCGGTGGTATTCTAGCTTACCAGCGTTTAACGGGTGAAGATTTACTGACCTATCTACATACAACGCTAACAGGTTTAAATCAGCATTATCACCTTATCCACGATCCCGCAGGACTTAGTCATTTTCTTTCGAGTCAAGATTGGTGGCCAAATCAAAGTCGTATTGGAGAGCTATATTACAGCTTGATATCAATTACGGGACTGCCAAGACAGACGGGCCCGTTTTTATTGTCATTTCTAAATAATCTGAACCTAAGCTATCGTTGGAATCAGCGTTATATTTTGTATGATCGTGATAGAGCACGTAAAAAACTGAGTGATACCCAAAGTAAGTTTTTTACTCAACGTGGCGGTGTGCTTGGTGTTGTACGTCGTGCAATGCGACTTGATCACAAGCATACCTATTATGGAGATGAAAAAGAAAAGCAAGCGAGTAATGTAGCAGAAGCAAAAGAATTGCTTGACGCGGGAGATCTTACCTATGGTTTGCACAGCAACACGCTTGTTTTTTATGATCGAGACAAACAGCACTTGGAAGATGAAACACAAACAGTATTAAAAGAGATTCGTAAACGTGACCTTATTTGTCGTTTGGAAACGATCACACCGCCTGTTTTTTTAGGCACATTACCAGGTAATTCGTATTTTAATCCCCGTAAATATTTTTACAATACGTATCAAGTTTCCGATATGTTACCTGTTAATAGCCCCTATCTTGGTGATCGAAATAGTACGCATCCTAAATTATCAGTAGAGCCTTGTCTGATGATGGGTTTTTCAGACGGAGGTACACCATTTTATTTGAATCCTTTTGTTGAAGATCGTGGTAATACAATTATTCTTGGACAAACAGGTGGCGGGAAATCTTTTTTATCAAATATGATGACGCTCAACTGGCTAAAATATCCAGGAGCACGTGTCTTAGATCTGGAAATAGGAAAATCTTCCTATGTTCAGTGTAAAGCAGTAGGTGGCAGCAATTATGAGCTAAATGCTGATCAACCCCATTTTCAACCTTTGCGTTTACTACAGAATGCCCTAGATTTTAGCTGGCTTGAAGGTTGGTTAGAGGTCGTTTTTTCCTTAAACAATGTTGAACTTAATATAGAGCGTCGCAAATTATTAAAACAAGCGATGGAGCTTGTGCGCGATCAACATCAAAAGCCAACAATGACGGATTTAATGACGCAAATTCAAGATGAAGAATTAAGAAGTATCCTTTCAGACTATACAATAAATAGCCAGGGAGTTGGTAGGATTTTTGATGCAGATAATGAGCCTGTTTTACAAGGACGTTACGGGCGGATTCAATTAGATGCAATTTTGTCGCAAGGTATTCCTGAGCGTTTTGTGATTCCAGCCCTGATGTATATTGTTCGTTTTGCACGCCATTGGCTTGATGGTATCCATCCGCTACTGATTCGTTTTGATGAAGCCTTTTTGTTATTAAGCCATGATCTTTTACGAGATTGGTTGCAAGAAGAATTTAAAACAATTCGTAAAGATTTTGGTTGGATCTTGTTTTCTACACAGGAATTACAAGATATTACAGGTAGTCAAGCAGGTGAAACTATCTTGTCGCAGTGCGTCACACAGATTTTTTTACCAGACCAAACAGCACTTAGTGATCAAGAAGTCTATATAAAGCGGCTTGGTTTAAGTTTAGAAGAACTGAGATTGCTGTTTAAAGCAGTGCCCCGCCGAGACTACTATCTACGTCGTTTTGAGTCTGGCCAGCGTGTCAGTAGGTTATTTCGTTTGGTTGTTGGTGAGCTGGAGCTAGCGATTTGTGGCGCGGCAGGGGAAGAGAAAGCTAAAGAAGTAGATGAATTGATAGAAGCCCATGGTGATGAGTGGTTATTTGAATATTTACGTCAAAATGATATCCCTCAAGCGTGGCTAGAGCATTGGCAGAAGGGGATGGGGGGATGAGTGATATAGAATTCTGATCCGAGACGCGCCTTTTAATTTTTTTGGATTCTCCATTTATTTATGCTAATTTTTAGCATATCTTTATTTCAATACATAGATATTGTTTAAGTTAATAAGGAGCTTTTATTCTAAAAAGAGCTAACTTGTGAGCCAAATTTCTCAAATAAAACAAAGACAGAAAGATGATATCTTTCACGAACCAATTCCAACCTATCAACGTGCGCGCCAGTTTTGGTTACAGTCGGGGGATCTGAAGTATTTTTTTTCTGAATTTGGGCAGCGCTATCCATTACTTCCAGATATTATCCATCAAGTTACAGCGAACCTACAGCCTGTTCTTAAACGCATTCCCAAAGACTATATGTCAAGAATTCGGCCAGCAGCAGCGTATCTATTTACTGAATGGATGCCCCTAGGATACAGTGCAATGCTACCTGTAGCTGAAAAAGATTTAGTATCAGCTACACAAGCAATGATGCATTATGGTATTGCAGTCACACTTTTAGATGATCTTTCTGACACAGATCAGTTTGATGATCTTTTTGGTACACAGGCATCTGAACGAATTGCAAAAGTAGTTTACCGTCATTTTTATCCGTGCTGCGATTTTGATATTCCTGGTTCTACGAGCTACCAAGAATATGAACTAATCCAGTTTTTGATTGAGCAACTAGAGAATTTTTGTTTGTATGTTCGTTCATTACCTAATGCTCAAGCTATAGAGGATCATTTTTCAGATTTACTACGTCGTATGCTTTTAGGTGTACTTATATGTCGTCATATTCGTCACAAAATTTTGAAAGCTCAGATTACGATGCAGGAGTTAGGACAATTAGCAGATTATATTCACCATGGTATGACTGTGATGATGGTTGGTGTCGTTGGTTTAGCTCATCATCATTTTGATTGTTTGATGCCACTTACGCAAGGTGAAATACGCCAAGACTTTGAAACTGCACAGTTACTTTGTCATTACCAAAATGCCTTAGCAACCTTAGATCGTGAATTACAGGCCAGTGACCCAACGAATCCGATTATCATTGCAGCCGCAGCAGATTATATAGAGTCAGGAGCGTCCTTAATTAGCTTTTCCCAAATGTTAGAGACGGAGATATTTCAGCAGTTTTTGAGGCAAAATTCCGTTTTGCTTAAACAACAAATGAGTTCTACAAAGCGTGTATTTTTAGGCTATACTAACTGTTTAGCACCATTAACAGTTAAATGTTTTTTTAAACAGTATACTTTTGGGGTTTGTAATTTAGAGCTACTATACAAAATTGCGAGGGGAAATGTATGAGTCATGTTACGAGACTAGATACTCATAAATTAGATGACATCTTTTTAAAATTTGCACAAACACTGACAGAAAACTTAAATCTAGAAGAGATGGCTCAGGCTGTTGTTGATTTAATGGTTGATGCTTTGGGGTCTAGTGGTGGTGTTGCCTGAGGATGAAGGTTATGTGTATCCATTTACGGTTTCCAATACAAAAATTGTTAATTTTGCTTTAGAAAAATTACAGATTCCCTTTCGTGATCATTGTTATGACACGGTTACCCCGTGTAACTACATCGGTCGTACCGCGCAAGAGGTATCCATGTTTTATGGTCATGATTTATCTGAGTTTCTTGCACCTAGTCCACCAGCTTGGATTTGCAAAGCGATGCAAAAAATAGTTGGTGCACGATCTTTCGTTTCACTACCAATTCTTAATCGTGGCAAAGTTATCGGTGTGACCCTAATGACTTTCCGTCAGGTAAAAATTGACGACATCTTATTTAAAAAGATTGATACATTTAATAATCTTGTTGCTACAGCTATAGGCTCAAGTTTGTCTTATGAGGATCTAGAGTTACAACGTAGCCGTATAAAAGATATAGGGTATTCGCTTGGAAGTGTACAAAAGATGCGTGAAGATTTTTTATCCTTAATTTCTCATGAATTACGTAGTCCCTTAACTAGCGTTAAATTGATGTTACAAATTTTAGATAGAGATAAGAATTTACAACAGACCCTCAATGCCGACCATAAGAAATTCTTTAAAAATATGTCGCAAGAGGTAGATCGTTTAGATGGCTTAGTTACGCAAACGTTACGTGCCTTAAAAGTTATTTCTGGCACAGTGAAATTAGAGGCCCAAGAAGTTGCAGTCCATTTGTTGCTTAAAGATGTGATTAATACGAAACAGTTTGAATGTTTTGAACAGTATTTGGCTATTGATCTAGATGATCGGGTGAAAAATTCTGGTGTCGTTATGGTACTCGGCGACTTGGAAGGGTTACGCTATGTTTTCTGGGAATTATTAACAAATTCAATTAAACATGGAGGTTCAGCTTTAACAAAAGTTCAGGTTACATTACAGATACGATTCCATGAAGGTGTACAAGGTGTTGAAATTACCATCTGTGATAATGGCCAAGGATTTGATGATATGCGTATCGGCAATGATGTTGGTGAGGCTTTTAGTCTAGGTGTAGATATTTTAAATAAATCACTGCCTGGTCTTGGCTTAGGCTTGTTTATCACGAAACAGATGATCGAAGTTCACGAAGGAACGTTTACTGTTCGCTCTCAAATTGGTGAAGGAACAACGTGCTCTGTGTGGTTACCCATATCGTCAAATAGTAGGATATTGGCATCTGTTGACTTGGGTTAAGAGGACACTATTTTGAGTTTTGATGAATCAATTATTGTCTATTGTGCTGATAATATTCTTGCAACAGTGTCAGGCAAACCATGTGGAATGATGTAGAAACAACTCAAGATCTATTGAATTTTAAGGTTGTCGCGGATACGGCAGCCCAAATGATCAAAGACGGAAATGGTCAGCCTGTCTCTATTGGAGTTTCAGGAAGCTGGGGTGTTGGCAAGTCATCTCTTGTTCAAATGATCGGAGAGTCCCTCAAAGGTCTTGATGGTGGGAAAAACTACATCTTCGTCAAATTCAATGCTTGGCTGTATCAAGGCTACGATGACGCTCGCATGGCACTTCTCCAAAAAGTTGCCGACAAAATAATGGAGGAGTCGGAATCCCGTAAAACCTGCGTCGATAAGGCTAAAGAGTTTATCAAGCGCATCAATTGGTTGAGAACTGCGAAATTCATGGCTCCAGCTGCCACAGGAATCATTACCGGCGGGGCTGTCGTTGGACCTGTCGGTTCTTTTATTGATGCGGTCATTGGTCTGTTCGGTCAAAGTGGAATGCCGAGTCAAGAGGATCTGAGTAAGA